TGTTTCCCGCGGGGAAGGGTGGGGGATGGCCAGCCGGTCCTTCTGTATTTCCAGCCGCCGACTTTCCCTTGAGTCGCGGGGCAGGGGCGACTCTGAGGGGCTGTGGGGCTTGTTCGGGCAGGGATGCCGGGGCACCTGTCTGAGGCCGTGTTTGCTTTTTCCTTCGCAGTACTGGCCTCGCGTCGCGTCTGTGTCTTCCCCAGGCTCGACCAGCGCTTCGCCGCCGCCTCCGCCTTGGTGAACGTCGCACCGCCCGCCCGGCCCTACGCTGCGGCAGCGAAGTGAGTGGGTCTTTGTCCATCCGAGCAGCTCACTTGGCCTTCGAATGTTCGGGGGCGGGGGGAGTGTGGGGTGTTTTCGGTGTGTGCGGTGTGGCTCTAGCAGCCGAGCTGGCCTTGGTGGCATCCTGCACGTTGCTGCTCCTAGACAAACAGCTTGGAGAGAGGAGAGCTAAGTTGGGCTTGCACGACATGTTTTTTGTTACTCTTGTAAGAATGAATGTAACCGTTAGGAGGAAGATTGATGTGATATTTTTGATGGGTGCTTTTGGAGGGAATGGCTGGTTTACAGCTTAAGGCCTACTGTCAGCTGGTGACCTTACGGAATTGGTTTCAGTAAGTTCCTTTTTTTTTTGTTTCATTATGCTTCTTATGGTTTAATTTATTGTCTCTCTAAGTCTGATACTATGGCGTAAGTGGGAGAAGTGAAAATGATCTCTGTGTACAGAACAGTGAAGCGTGCTGTATGCTAAGTTTTCTGAAGTGCTGCAGACTCTTTCACCATAGTTAATAGAGGAGTGCAGTATCTAGCTGTTACTTTAATGTTTTCCTGCTTCACTTGAGAGCCTTTAAAAATAGGTAGGAGAATAGGAAGTGGGGCTAGTGTTTGTTAACTACATGCAAAATGATACGGGAAAGGGAGGATAAACCCTTTTTGGAAGGTGGGCCATGATCCACTATGAGAAGAATAAAAATGCTGGAGATGTGCTGCCTTCTGATTAGCAGTAAGGTGTGTGGGATTTGCTCGGTTTAGAAGCAACTTGGGCACAGTGCCTGCTACCAGCCTATGTGAAGGCAAGACCTCTAAAAGTTGGTGTGTTACCTTAACTGGGTTTTGCTTTGATATAGTAGGAGGCATTAACTTGGTTCCATGCTGCACAAACGTGGCTGTGTTGTTTGAGGGGCTTAATTGGATTCAGAGCTTGGATTTCTGTCTTGGCCATGTGAGACAAATAACTGGGGTGAGTTTAGGGATGCTGTTCATCTTTGTGTAGAACCTTCCTTGTTAACTAATTGTTACTTGATAAGTGACATATGACAGTATCTATGTTTTTCTCTTGGAACATGTGCCAAACTCCTCAGCTGATGATCTAACAATCTTTTTTGTTTGTCCTAGAACTGCAAAAAGAGGTTCACAAAAGACCAAGCAGGAAGAAACAAAAAAGAAACAAGTAACTCGGAGGCGGCCGCTGATGAGCAAGCCTGTGGATGATGTATATTTGACGTGGTATTATGAGAGGCCATCCTATGATGTGGAAGAGGCTGTGGGTATGCTAAAGAAATTTCAGGAACTGGACTTCACTTACCCCAAACAATATGTCTACATTAACGTATTCCTAGATATGGCACTACAGAAGAAGGTAGGTTGGAACTGTATAAAAATTTTGATACTTTTTTGTTTTTAATGTAGAAAGGCTGTGTTTTACATGCAGAGCAGATGCTCTTGTCAGCCTTCTCAGCTGCCTCGTGCAGTTTTGTTGATTGTCAGAATAACTTGTGCTTTTGCAGGTGGCTTTGTGCCTCCATTTATGTATGTATAAGTACCAACCATTCCTCCAGCTCCCGAGGTGAAGATAGCACTGCTGAGGATTTGGAAAACAGGCTATTATGTGACTAAAATTCACGTTTGGACAGAACTGATCAAACTAAGCTTTAAATCTGTTTGGGCTTTGAACTTAAAGATGTGTTACCAAAATCACATGTGTGTTTTGTTCTGGGATGATTGTTACAAGGAGGCGTGTAAAGACAAGCTTCTTCCTGCCTCTGTCTGGCACCTTGTTTTGATTTTTATTGTTTGTAAAGATAATGTTCCTTGAAAGTATGTTATCCCTTGTTTGCCTATGACATTTTTGATTTAAAAGTGTCTAGCCCTAGTTTAGTTTTTCCGTAAAACTCCTCCTGCTTCCCCCATAAGTAGAAAATGGGCTACTCTAGAGGTGGTTTTTTCATGTGTGTAACTAAATTTCCCTTTGGTATACCAGGGGTCCCTTAGAGTCAGAAAGTAAGTTCATGCTTAAAGAAATGAGAGCTCTTGCTCCTGCTTTCGGAGGCCATGTGGTATTTTTAAGGCTCAGGGAGAGACACATTCCTTGTTGATGGTTTGCATCGGCCATAGCATCTGAAATGTCATTTAGATAAGCTGCAACTGCAGCACCTCAGGGGTTGTTAATGGCCGCACCAGAGCCTGGTAGCAATCCTACGCTGGAGTCGCTGATTCCAGCCCCTTTCTCTTGGGCAGACTGCAGCGTAATTAATTCCTGTCTCTCAAGTTTAGATTTGAGTATATACCAGACATAAAAAAGCATTTGTGCTTGTTTGTTATGACCTCTGTGCAAGGAAATTGCGGGTAAGATTGCTATTTAGGGGACCAGCTCTGGACGGTTGTGTAAATTGCCCTTAAGTTGCTATTTGTTCGTATTAATATTTTTCTTTCTTTCCTTATTAGAAAAAAGTGGATCCATTTGCAAGCACTGTTGTTCTTCCATATCGCTTTACAGATGAAACGAATAAGGTCTTGGTTTTCACAGAGGTGGGTAGGCTTGTGTTAGTTGCTTTTTATGTTTTATGTATCTAGCATGCTCTTACAACACAACTACTTCCCATGCAAGTACTATACCTTTTGCTGAGGAGACTCTGCAAATGGTTACAGAACTTCTCAGTCTGTCTAGGATTCGTTTTCAGCAGCGTCTTAATGCGTTAACAAGGATCTTACAGGATTTCCTTTACCTCGGTAGATTTATCTGGATGTAGATTATTCTAGCAATGCACTTGGGGAGTAAATGTCTGCATAGATGTGATGAAGGAAGAGATGATTAAAGATCGCTTACAGAACCTTTGTTCTGTAAAACCTTTGTCTCCTTTTTGTAATACAGGCAGATGGTTTAGTAACTTCTCCTCAAAGACTCTAAATGACAACCCTCTGCCCAAAAGCCTTTGTATCCTCTCCTAGAAATTCACTAATGGGAAATTGGTGCGTAGAGCAGTTGTAGCATCTGTATGAGACTAGTTTCAGCCTTTGCTGCTGTCTTTTGCGAGTTAATGATTCTAGCAGAGTAGACCTATGTATATGTGTATGAGATCATCCTGGAGAACTGTCACACATTTAGTTGACTACCCTTTGGGCTTAATTTTGGTGAAATTCTCTACCTGAGCGACAAGGTGAGAATCCTCATACAGAACAGAAGGCTGACAAAGGACCCGTGCATGCCAGCTTCTTTGGTTCTCTATCTTGCAACCTTCTCTCTTGACTTGGATTCATGTGGGGTAAGAGATCCCAATGCCTTGTGAAGGTGTGTATGTCGAGAAAGGTTGAGGGACTGAAAACACTTGCTACTGCTTTTGAATGGAAGCGTGGAGCTGTTTGGTTCATTCATGTGAGGAAAAGTTGATTCTGGCTTTGAGTCATGAATACCTGCTTGTATCAAAATCTTGAGCCCAAGTTTTTACAAAACTGATGCCTTTTACCTTTCCATATTTCAGACTATTAAAAGCAAAACCTTGTGGAGGACCGATGAGGTCAACTTGTAAATGCTCCTTGAAGCCCAAGTTTAATAGCACTTTCACAAGTTGAATAGTCTTATTGTACAGCGGTTTTTAGTAGCATGTTCTGTGCTTTTCTTTAAGCTTAGAGTAAGATGTTGGCTCCATCCAGTGGGTGGTTTGTTGTAGTTTCCAAGGAATGGAGGTGGGAGAGAAAGGGCTTTTGATAGAGCTCCTCTGCAAATGGGATGGGCTTTTCTCCTCCTTCTCGAGCAGCAGCCAACTAAAGACTTGGCCATCGCTTCTTATAGTGGAGTTGCTGCTGCAGTGTTAAATCACCAGCTTGAGATATTTTTGGTCTTTGCCTTAACTCATTCTTTTTTTCTAAGCCTGGAAATAGTGTGGGTTTATACCCAGTTATCCAAGATAAATCACCTGTGCAGTGCTATTGATACAGACTAATTGTTAGTACAGATGTTACTAATTTTTTTTCTCTCAACAGAATGAGCAAGAAGCTGAAATAGCTCGAGAGAATGGAGCTGCTGTTGTGGGAGGACTTGAATTAATCAAATGGGTATTTACTTTTTTAAGAATTGTGTAAATATTGTAACTTGAACTGAGGGTGGGGGGAGCAAGAAACCTCATGTCCAATAAACTCCAGCTTGAAGGTAGCAGCCAATACGGAGAGTGAGGGATGGGTTTTTGTGCTCGGACGTGCTTGTAGGTCAACTTGTGTACTGAGGTAATTTACTGTATTCCTAAATATATTTAATTGTTCTCATTGTAGATTTTGGAAGATGAAATCCAAGCGGATTTCTATGTAGCTGTCCCTGCAATAATGCCTAAGCTAATACCGTTAAGGAACAAACTAAGACGAAAATACCCAAGCACGAAAAGAAGTAAGAAGCAATTCTTTCTTAGAAATCTCAAGTACTGAACAGGATTTAACCCTAGAGGTGGCACTGAAAGGTTTTTGATGAAGATGTATCCAACACACTAGGTGTTGGTCTGTGTGTTACTGTACTACTTGTTTTGTCTTGGATAAGAGTAGTTTTAGGTATCTAGAACTGTGCTTTTCTCTTACAACAGGCAGACCAAGATAAGTTTGCCTACTCGTTGCCCCATGCTTGTTAGTCTTGATGAACCATAATAGTATTGTGAAGTTACCCAGGAAAACAGAGACAACTTGAAAAAACACATATTCACTGAGATAGTTGTGTTGTTGAACTGTTGTGCAATTGTATGGATCCCAGCTTCATGACTGCTACTTCTCCGTCTGCCTGTTCCTTACTACTCAACAGTGGAGTTATGCTTTTCTTTCGGGCAGCCTGCTCCCTTACCTGTGTGGCCTCTCCTTTTTCATAATGCTCAAGGCATTTCCTCTTTAGGTCAGGTTTTCATGGCAACAAACATCTCAATACTTTTGTCCTCCTTTGTTGACTAACTTTAGCTGTCTGTCAGGGCAGGATTTAAAATTTATGGGAGAAAAAAAAAAAGCTGTTTTTCAAACAGAAAGCCTATGCCAGCTGTGTGAAGCACTGAGTCTTGAACCATGTTTCTTACTTCCCTGCACCTGGGTGCCTTAATGTTTTACAAGCTGCGAGTGGCGTTTTTAGGCTCCTAAACATTTGAGGCAAACCTATTAACCTGTTGAAAAGACTGCAACAGAGAATAGTACAGATACTTTTTGGAACAAATTAAAGCTATATTATGTCATTATGACCTTACTTGGATTGTCGCTTATCCAGAGCTGATTTCTCTTGGAGCTGTCAAAGAGAAAGGAGAGAAGTAATGCTTGTATTTGAAGCAATTGAGTGATGGTGTAAATCTCTTAAATGAGCCCTTGCAGCTGAGATAAGAAACAGCTGTCTTGACTCATTGGAACGGCTGGATTGGGCCAGTGCGTTCAGGTAGTGTGTAACCTTGGTATTACGTACTTGTAGGCTTCGTTTTCAAGGAAAACTTGGGGCTTGTTTTAACTCAGTAGGTTTTGGTCTTTCAAGCTGCTTCAATTGCATTAGGTAATAAAGTTCTGTTTTATATATACATAAACAGGTTCTTTATTTGAAGTGAAGCCTTTATTACAGCCTTTCTTACTGTATTAGCTATTCATCTGTGCCGATTAATGATGAAGGAGGGAAGATAGAAACAATTTATATAGTATGTGTGAGGAGACCATTGTCTTGTCCATGAAACTGCATTTTTTTATCGGAGTTTGACTGCCTTAATCGAAAGATTGAATCGTCTTGTTACTAATACCGCACTTAGACTAAGCATTACTCAGTCAACTTTTTTGCCTTTTTTTCTTCTTTAGATTCCCTGGGCCATGATATTCCCAAAATGTTGCAACTCTTCCGAGAATGTCTTGAGTACATGGTACAAGATGAGCGTGTAATCAAGACACGAATAGCAAGAGTAAGTTGTGTATAGAGTTCTTATGTTTTCTCCACTGAGCAGAACTGAAGTTAGTATTAAAAGAGGGGGAAAAACATGTTTTTTATCTGTGTGTTCCCAAGATTGTTAACCATGTTCCCTAACTGGCCTGTTAGGTAAACGGAACTCTTACTCTTTGTCGTGTGACATCTTAAGCTGATGTGAGCTCTGTATGTCGTTAATGTGTGGCCATAGAAGATGGCTCCGCTAAACCGAGAGCAAGGCCTACCTGATGCCATGAATGGGATCTGTATTGGCCACTATACTGGCAAGGAATTGTAATAATGAACAAAATAGGATGAAAAAGGTATCATTTCTAGTTATCTCCTTGTGAGTTGGCATATGAACATAGGCTTCCCTTTCCTCCTGCCTTCTCCAAGACTATTCTATGAGTTGAAAAAAAAAAAAAAAATCTAATAAGCTTTTTTTTCAAGTAAATAAACTGTGGGTTGGAAGTCTGTGGTCAGTATGCACAGGTGGATCAAAAAGTGTTTGCTTTAACCTAATACTTAAAGATACATTTAATTTTGGTAACTAGGTCTGGACTGGAGCAAAAAGTGAGAACTGGTTGCAGTACATCTGAAATATAAAATTAATTTGTGCTTTGCTGTCATATAAGAAATCAGGTTATAGAAGAGTATCTCATCTCTTTCTCTCTCTCTCTTTTTTTTTTTTTTTTTTGGCCCATAATATGTTTTCCTTAATTATTTTTTTTATAATGTATTTTCCCTGCTCCCAACTTGTTGGGGTATTTTGTTTTCATTCTGGTTTGTCCTGCTTGATTTGTAGTTTTCCTCTTCTGTACCAGTATCAGTTAAGGAAGTGTACCAGATAACTAACTGCTGAAGCTTTGTCTGACAGTGTTAGAGAGAAGCAAGTTTATTAATTCTGGCTAGCTGCCCTGAGTCGGGCAGGTGAATTTCCAGGGCTTGCTCATCTATACGATACTCAAAAGTGAAGTTGTTGGGACTGTTCTGCTACAGTGTGTTATATATTGCACTTTGATACAGGCAGGAAGTATCTTTAGTTGTCAGTTTAATGGACTCCTAAACACCTCGAATCTGTAGATCAGTCTTGGTTTTGAGTATTGTGGCTGTATTTAATATTTGTCTTGGACTGCTTAAACCTTAATCATCTTATACTGCAGGTCAGCCTCAAACATACCTGTGAATTCCACTTACTGTAAAGTTTCTACTCGTGTAGTAAGGAAGAAGAGTGATGTTTTTAATCAAGGTGAATGAAGAGCTCTGAGGTCTTGATGTAGAATTTCAGCAGGATTTCAGTTGGTTCTGTTTGGCCACAGCTGCAGGCCGCTATACTAGGGTTTCGCAAGCGAAACACCATGTCCTGTTACTGATGTTAGATGTTGGTGTTCTGGTTAACTTTAGGCTCTGTGGCCAACTCAGCCCTGCAGCTTCATGGCACTTCAGGAGGTTTGGTGCAGCCAGAGATGTCGCTTTGTACAAGGAAACAGTAGGTTCTTGTGAACAAACTCTTAATCTTGGATCAGAAACAGTACGATGATGGTTTGCTTGCAGACGGAGTTCGTATGTGCAAAGTTCATGTCAGCAACGTGGCAGAGGTGACTAACCCTGCACATGTGGTGTGGCATGCTCTGTGACGGCATTGTGTGTCGAGTTGTGTGCGGAGGGATGACTCAGTGGTTATGGCTCGTGTAAAATCGTCTCCACCCTCTCTAGCTACTATCCTTTACCTGACCTAGTTTTCCTACTGTTTGCGCAGCGGCGCTGGAAGGAAATTGAGTGCGGGCGAGGCTCTGGGAGGCTGTGAGAGCCTTCAGGGGTTATGCATATCTGCTCACCGCTAAATCAAGAGCTTGGTAAATTTAAATCTTGTCAGTGATAAAATAATAATTTATGAATTAAACAGAAGCATAAAGATCTATTGCTGTAGTCCAAACGGTAGCGTAGATGTTTCTGGGAGTCTGCCAAGGTGGTGTTTCGCAAAGAGATGTTTTCCCTTAGTGCTGCTGTCTCATGTTGCCTGTTAGTTCAATTATGGCCCGTGGCTTGATGTAATGCTGCATTCCCGTATAAGTCGACAGCCTCGGTGGTGTTTTCTATGTAGTGGTCGAGCTGTTTTTGAAAAGCCCAAAAGTTGGAAGCAGTTGAGTTGAATTTGTAGATCTGCAGTTGTGAAACAGAGAAAATAAAATGTTCTTTTAAGACATGGAGGTTAAAGCAGAAGGCAGACAAATGAGCACACCTGGGGTATCTCTTTCAGAATCAAGCTATCTGCAGAGGGCAGCTTAAAAGTAATTTTCTTCAGGGTTTTGACATAGCTCCTGAGTCCAGATAGGGTGCTGTTGATCATGACAAAATATTCTTATTCCCACGTTGGAGTTGTCTCCAGAAAAATCAGAATCCGAATGTGTCACCAGGAAGGAATTTCTAGTTTATCTTGCTGTCTGTGCAGAGAGCTGCCTGCAAAATGGCTCTTCCGTGGAAAAGGGTCAGATGGTTTCAGGACGTGAGAGTTTAAGGTTAGTTCAGAAGACTGTATTTTCTGGTAAGGGACATCTTTACGTGAGCACCGTGTGATTCGCAGGGTCAGAAGTATGGAGAGGTGTGTACCGAACCAGAGATCTCTGAAACTTGGTACAGAGAATGTACAAGTGTATGGAAATGAGAGTTAGGGCAGGAAACAAAAATGCCAGTTTGCACTAGAGGAAGCATCTATCTCCTTTGTCTGTTAATGTGATTGAAGGCTGAAGCTTGAGTGTCCTTTGAAATGGGGGGGTCATGAAGGGAACAGTGCAAAGAGCATAGGTTGTTGCAGTTGTCTTTTGTTAGGTGTTTGAGCTGTTCTCTATTGGAGATACGACACTGAAAGGCTTGCTGTTTACAAGAGCCTCAGTAAGGGTATTTTTATGCCTAGTTATTTTATTTTCCTGTAGACTGAATGGGGCTACTACCTCAGAAATGCTTGAGTGCCAGGCGAGAAAATCCTATCGGCATGGTCTGTGTTATTATGGGCTCCTGCACAGAACTGTGTGTGTTCCCTTATTCTGACCTTCTCTCAAGAGCTGTAGTAGGGAACTTGGAGTAGATTTTTTTGTTGTTGTTGTTCCTTAGCACAACTGTAAGCCCAGTTATGGCGCTCTGAGAACTGACTTAGCTTTCTGATTGAATGGTCACCAGGCAGCCCAAGTCTCTTACATGCCATGAGATAAAGCCATAAAAATTCCCATTTCATTTTTGGAATGGATAGTCTTTAATGACTGTCTTGTCCTGTAGCTCCTCAGGAAAGCTGAAGAGAACCTGAGTTCTGAGTGAAGGTGCTAAAACTCTTAATTTTACTGATTATTGCAGCCTTTATTATAGGACTTTTAAGTCCTGGTGACTTGATGTGGGAAGCCCTGAGTTGAAAAAAATCTTGGAAGAAACATGTGTGGCTTGGTGCTAGTATATGTATTCGTTCTGGCAACTTCAAAATGGCGCAGGAGGGAAGAATAGAGAATTTGTTCAGGGAATACAGCGTGGACCGATCTGGCTTGCTAGGCGTTATTTTAGGAGTATACATTGTCGCATTCTTAATACAGCTTACTGGAGAAACGGATTATGTGAGTGAGAGAGAGGCTCAAGCTTTACACCTCATCTAAGCTTTTTGTATGTAGTGCGAAATGAATGTGTGTGGAGAAAGAGTAAAAGTCTATCTACTCTCCTCCAGGCAGAAGTGGGTAGATGAACACAACATGGTCATGCAGGTGGGTATTACCGGACTCTCACTGGACACGGGAATAAGGGAAGCCGGACTGACTCACTTGAATTCAGTCGGTATTTCATGTTTCCTGTATGCAAACCATTTTTATGAGCAATGCAGGTGTAGTCATATGCTTTGGTCTGCCATGGAGTCTTCCTGTTGACTTAGGGTTGTCATACCTGTTAAAAATAGTTTCACTCACCTTTATTCTTTCCTACTAGTTTTAGATTTTATTTGATGATTAATTAGTGTTAAATTAAATAGTGTTAAAATACTAGAGGGACTAATGTTAGTAGCTGAGACGGTCAAGTACAGTTGCCTTGAATGGCAAAAAGACGATGTGCTACCCATGATTAAAAGGAGGGTTTATTTAACTTCTCCTGTTGGGCTTAATTTGAAGCTGCATGAAGCTTTTTGTTGTATTGTGGGTTTTTTTTGTAGATGGATAACTTTGTCTAAAGTTGAATGAGGTGCTATGTCCACTTCATTAGATGCAACAGTGATATATCCAGACTGCTATCAACTGATGAGTTTTGGTTTTGGGGATGGTGTTTTTCTTGTGGGGGTTTTTTTGTTTTTGTTTTTTGTTTGTTTGTTTGTTTGTTTGTTTTTAGTTTTTTTGGTTTTTTTTAGAGGACAAGTCCTGGAAAATGATAGGTATGTTTAGAGAAGGTAATAAGCAGTGGAACTGCCATTCCTGGTTGGTTTGCATTAGCGTGGCTTTTGATTTTCGTGTAGTATGTAGCAGAAGTTACTTATCTGATTTGTATGATGGCTAAGTCAGTTGCAGAGTGCAGCGGACATGTACATTTGTATATATGTTAGTCAATGCATGACCTGAACTTAAGAGCTGTCAGCTTTGGGGTTTTGGTTATTTTTTTAGCCTAGGTAGCAAAACCATTGTAAAACAGGCTATAACTGAAGGAAACGGTAGAAATTCTCATCGAGAAACCTTTCTCTATTAGCTTTATTTTGATTCCGCTAGTTTTCTGTTGCTCAGGCTTTCTTTTTTGATGTATAAATGATATGTACTAGATTTTACTTCATTTTATTTACATTGTCTTTTATTTTGTGGTTTCCAGACTGTTAGCTATCTTACACAGTAACCACACATGTCTCAAATAACCCCTCTCCCCTGCATCCAGGAACGGGATTTTTTTTATTTTTCTTTTTCCCCCTTCTTGTACTGTAGAAGATGAGTTAACCTCTTCCTCTGTAACCTTGGCATCTGCAGGACTTTGCTGTCTCACACGTTTTGGAGGGAGGTTGTCCGCGCTTTTGAACTTGAACGTCTGAAATGCTGGGATCCTTTGTCTGCATAACCTGCTCTGTCCCGTGCGGCGTGCACGCTCCGTACTGCTTCTACGGCATAGAACAGCTTTGTGTCTACTTGTGGTTTTTCTTACTGGCTGGTTTCTAGCTTTATTTTCCTGCCCTCTGATTCTTAAAGCATTGAGTTAAATAGCTGGCAATAACCTTGTTTTGCAGAGTGTTAATCATTTTGTGTTAATCATTTTTGATCTTCTACTGAGTGTTTCTGCCTTACCATGACTGCCGTTCTCTACATGTGTGTTAGATTCTAACTGCCTAGTAATTAAGTCTGCAGTACAGTTTCAGTGCTCCGAATGACCTCTTGGCAGAATTCTCTAAACACAGTTCAAAAAAGCAGTTCTGTGGTTAAAGCTAGTGTTTTAATAGCACAGCATCTTTTTGTTTTTCATTTGCATATGTAGTCAGCAAATAGCTGAGTGGCTCTTCTGTGTATTCAGTTGCAGTCTTCTAAAGATCCCCAGGAAGATCGGGAGCATTGAGACTTCATGAATCAAGTTTTAAATATGATCTGTTTTGGTGAAACTTGTGCAGTGCTGAATATTAATAGCCAATTTCCCACTAGGCAGCAGAGTTAGTGGGAGGCCCTTTTAAAAACAAATATAATATATGTTTCTTCTTCTTCTTCAAAAAAAAGAGGAACAAATAACTTCCCTGAACCTTTTTACAGTACCTTGTGCTGCTCTAGAGAGGTGTCCTAAACTTCAAACAGCGAGATGGCTTAACAATTCATTTCTGTGTTCTGATTGTAGTATATACTGTCATTTTTTAAGATGCTTTGTGGTTAGGTTGTATTTATACAAAATGGAGTAGAAATTGGTTTATAGTTGCTCCCTCTGCAGGCATGGTTATTCCTCAGGAAGGCTCAGGATTTAAGAATACTTGGTTCTCCCCGCAGCCGGTCCAAATAGAGTAGCTTGCACAGCCTTGAAGATCTGGTCCACTGTACTTTGTCAGTTTGGTGAAGGTTCGAGTTAAGCTAAATATCTAAGTGCTGATACACAGTGACTGTGTATACACAAGGATTTACTGTGGAATACTTATTTAGAAGTTGGAATGTTTATTTGGATGTGGAAGCTATTTTGAAATACTTGGAGCCCTCTGAGCATTACCTGTCTTCATTACGGAGATGGCATGTCAAGTATATTATGGTATGTCATCTCTCGGGATGTGTCATGTTGACTGACTGAATGCAAGTCCCTCTGTTGTATTTTCCTGTCTTAACAAATACAGAATATTAACTCATGTCTTCGTATGTTGACATGGGTCTTGTCTCATAACGTGTTATATTTGTAAACCTTTATAAGAAGTTGGAACTTGTTTAGAGCAACTTAAAAATTCTGTGCCTTGGGAATGCTTCTAGACTTTGTTACAGACGAGGAATGCCAAGCAGCTCACCGAAGTTGTGCAACTGAAGGTTTGCTTAAGACCTGACTTTGTTTAATGTTTGGAAGCAAATGCTATTTGAAGTATAGCTTCTAATTAGTTACTAGCAATGAATTATTTTGTTTAAATGGTTTTGAGTATTCCTTTATTTTTAGTTCAGTGCAGCATGGGGAGTGTGACAGCGAAGTGAAATGCTCAGCATGAACAAACAGATTTTTATGTCTGTTAATTTATGAATGATTAGGCATGTTGCAGTCTGCATGACAATGATAAAGACAAATGTGCTCTGGCCTGCCGAACAGAGGAAGTGCATTTGGATTGTAAGTCTGCCGGAATAGCATGAAGAGAGATTAATGGACCAGATCTGGGAGGAGAGTAGCCAAGTATAACAGTATTTCTCTTGCAAAGTAATGCATACATTTACATTTAAGTGAGGTGTTTATAAAATCTGCTCATGCTGCTTCGAGAGGTGATGGAGAGGAAAAGGAGACCCCAGTGATGCCTGTATGCTCCCCCTAAAGAGAGTTAATTCTGTCAGAATAAGTGCTATTTTCTCCTAAATTCCATAGCTGAAACATCTGGAAAAAGAACTTGGTTTTTAATTCATTTAGAGATATGTGGATGATATCGGTGAGACCAAATGGCAAGTTAAATAGCGGGATGTTATAGCAGCTGAACATTAAGTCTGAGAAATGCATGCTAAGGTCTCCAGGAGCTGAGAGATAGGTCAGTCCTGGCTTTGACCTGAGGGTGTTCAGGTTGATGTGTGTCTCGATCGTGAGTTGCACGTTCTTAAAAAGAGTCCCCATGAGATGAATAGCAGTCATGGTTTCAGGTGATTGGTGTATGAAGGAAGATGGAGTTACTAATTTTTTGGCAACCATGTTGGTTCACTTCCAAGTGTCTGTGGTACGTGTAGCGAGGGTCACGTGTGTGTTTGAAGTGAGGTGTGCTTAAGTGCTGCACTAGATGAGGACATTGGGCAGAACGGGGAGCCATCAGTCCACAGTTTTTGTTGGAAAGTCAAGAACGCCATGGATGGGAACCAGGGCGCGTAAAGAGGGTAGGTATAGAATTGGTATATGTTTAGAGCTCAATGCTTCCATGTACTCTGTGTTGAAAAAAAAAAAAAAAAATTCCCTGTAGTGTGTTAAAATGGGAAAGAAAAGGGGAAGAAAAGTTTTATAGTTTTTAAATGATTCATTTGGTGCTGTTAAAAGTTCTTAATGCATTCCAGTTGAGATGCTTTATGTGTTTTATGAGTTGATGTCTGTCATCTTTGACAGCTACTTCTTGAAGCTTCTTACCTCGAGTCCTTTGTTTTAATGCGATTTTTGCAAAAACACTTGTACATATATTGTTTTTTACGTCCTTAAGGCTACATGTTGTTACGGAGCAATGGGAATTTAATGTCATCAGTAGAAATATGGAGAACATTGATGAGCATATAACCATGTATAAAATACCTTTTTCTCCAAGTCATTTGGATGAGGCTGTTAGTGGCATTTTTAAGTTCTTAGCAGGGAACACAGAAAAACAAAATCTGTCCAAACGTAGAATAAATATGTACCCAGTGCTTTCAGATTTATTAATCTAGGCTTTAAGTATCACCATGGCTAACTATGTGCTATTCTTTTTCAGCTGGATATGCCTACTGAGCAGATAATTGCCAATCTAAAAACAGTTATCCATGACATCTGTACATTCAAGCCATCAACTTACGGTAAGTACCTGTTCTTCTAATGTAGTAGTTGAAGTTAGCGTACTACACAGCTACAGCTGAAGTAAACAAAAGGAAGAAATGAATGTTCTTTACCGGCTTGTCGTTAAATGACCTTGCTGCTTTGTCTGCCTTGGGGTAGGAGGAGGGAGCTGGTAGGCAACTGGGTAAGTTAGGACCAAAGCACTTTACAGCCTGTAAGGGCATGAATAGCATCTGTTCTTCTCGATGAGAACTCTGGTTGCACCGCGGCACTACGTAAGAGACTGTGTGAGGAAGGGAGTGAGGTGGTGTACAAAACTTAAGTTTTGCAGGCTTGATGTTTAAATAGATGAAAGTCGTACCAGGAAATCCCTCTGAAACATGGAGGTCTTCAGCTTCTGTGCGCATCGGTTTTACGCCACTGACCTGACCCTGTTGTGGCTGAATGCCAAGAATCTGAACCCGGAATACACCTGCGGTTCCCTTAGTTAAAACGTATGCCGCGGTTAACATCTAGTCTGGTTAGCTGCCCTGTTTGAAGGTGTACCACCTCTTCCCTGCCCCCCCCCCCCTTACCAAGGTATTTTTAAAATTTCTGCTGCTCCAAGGAAAGAACTGTTAATTTTTTTTAATTCCTTAGCTAAAGGATAGGGTTACAAAGGAGTAAAGGTTTGAATTCTGCGTGTTGTTCCTGTGGCTTCTGCTCGCTGTTCTGAGCCACGAATGTGAACAACTAATACGCTTCATTGTAATGAACTAAACGTTAAACAAATGTGATCTGTTTAGCTGGAGTGGAAATGGTGATTTATGAACATGTTTTTATGGATGAATAGCCTTGTTTAAGCTAAGAAAACAACTTTTTATATTAATACTGCCTTGATGTCTGCAAAAAGAATCATCTCGCATCTGTTCCAGTGATGCTGTTAACAGCAAACTCCTGTACAGAGAACAGACCAAGCACACATACCTTCAGAAGCGTTTCAGCCCAAATAAAAAGTTTAAGGGGGTGGCTGACTTGAAATACAAGTAAATAGAAGCAGAAAGTAGTGGTATTTTTGTCCTTAATGAGGTTATATGTGTATTACACCAACCTAGTCAAGTAAGGGTAAACTCTTCTGGTCTTAATAGTATTTCTACTGATTTTGTCATATCAAGCTTGGTTATTGTGGTGGGTCTTTTTACTGGCTTAGTGAAAAATATTTGCTGTTTATAGGAAGCAAACTTGATAATTAACACATCTTTACAAGAGTGGAGTGTAGATATGCTAGCAACCTATCAATGACTGAAACCAAGTATAGATAGCTGTTCTTTCATTCCTTTCAGACTTTCCATGTGTAATAGCATGCCTTGGTGCAGCTATGTAGTTGTCACTAACACGGCATTCCTCTGAGTCACTTCATCTAATACGAGATTAAAAATACCACCAGGCAGATGTTCTCACAGTATCATGTAGATCAATTTAACCTTCCATAAAGAAATCTGACTGGTTTTGTAGTTCTTTTCAAAAGGTTCTCTCAGCATTTCATGGTAGGATTCTGAATTAGGAATGATCACTTGGGTGATCAACAAACTTCCCACCCATACCTTGCCAACAGGCACCACTTCCCAAAGTGAGTTCACCTGTATTTCATTTTTTTGGAGGAGTGTGTGGGTGAAACATTACTTGTATGTTATAAGGCCCAGGGGCACCAGGCATGTCAACTGCTGGTGAGGTACTGAAGCAGTAAGGTAGCCATCAAGTTAGTACCTTTTACGGCACCAGAGTGCAAGTCACGTTTTGAACCCAATATGCCAGGGTGGATGTTAAACTCTCTGTGCTTCATGAAGGGATACGTCTATGTGTATAGTTCTGATTCCGGTCATGGTATGGATTAGTGCTAAGATAAATCAGCCTGGAGACATGAAAAGCGTTAGAGTGACCGAATTGGTGGTGTTCTTTGTTTTCTAGGTCCTTTTGTGCAGAAGTTGGTTATTAGATCTTCAACCAGTGAAGGTTTGCTGTTGAACCTTGATGGACTTCTACCTCAGGTGGAGAAAGTAGAAGAAGAAAAAAATGAAGACAATGAAGAGAATGACCAAGAACCTGTTAGTACCTGATGTCTTTCCTTGTCAATCTGATGATCCAGCTTGCCAGCTTGGAAAGCAGACGGTGTAATTCAAATCATACTTTCTGAAAAGAAGAAATAACTTGTGAATTTCGCTTGTAAATTCTGTGTAAGAAGAAACATTGTCACAAACAAGAGTCTGTTGTCAAAATGGAAAACACTTTAAATTCCCTTTTTTGGTACCTGAAAGCTCCCTAGTCTGTGTGGTTTTTTTTTTTCTGCACCTAGTAGTTCTTACTTTAATAAAAGTATTTCTGTAACCTCTGAAGTATTGCCATCCAGTTTCCACAGTTGTGGCCGAAAGGCCAGAACATGTTATGTCCATAACGCTGGGCTCTTGACTCTTGCAGAATGTTCAATGCTTCCGTTGTCTTGACTCTGTCCCCTGCAGAGCAACTAATGCAGTTACTTGTGGAAAGCTGCTGTATAGCTCGCCGATGAAGGAGATGAGGCTTTATTTACCATTGCGTTTTTCTGTGAAGTCAGACATGGTGTTCCTGTTGAGTTGGTGGGAGTGATGTCTGCATGATGCTTGTGATAGCTCACTTTGTTTTCATTTAATCTGCATGCGTAGATACTGGAGGGGTATACTGAGGATTACTGCTCTGCTGCTTTGAGCCTCTGAATGCAGGTTAGCCTTTGTAACAAACTGTGATAGGTGACATTTTTCCAAGGCAAAATTGGATGTATTCCGTGGGAGGACTGATCACGCACCTTATCTTTCAAATCATGTTGTTTCATCTATGCATAACTGATATGATGCCCCTCAGAGAATCCAGTTAGTTAGTGGTTTGTTTGCACTGTCCTGGAAAGAATTAGGCTTACAATGTTTTGGGATGAAACCTGAGTGAAGGTACAAAGTTTATAAGTGTCACTTCCTTGTCTATTTTCTATTGTAGAGGTGGTTCTTCACAAGCTTGCAAATAACCCCTTGGGATAAGTGGATGGGTTTGGGTGAGCGGCGCAGCCTCACAACAAGCAGCAGGAGATCTCTTTTCCTTAGAGGTGACTCTCACAGGAAGGCTCCTGTGCTACACTTACTGATGATTTTTTTTTTTTTTTTTTGCCTAAGAATGCTGACAGATGCCTGATGTGGATTTAATGTGTTACTGTGTGGAATTGAAGAGAACATATGCAACGGGAGCAGCTAGGAGCTGTGAGGTTGTGATCCTGTGCTAGGTTAGTCACCTTGGAGGTGCAGTAGGCTCCGTAGACCTGGCTAGAAGACACTGATTTTCTCGTGACCGGATGGAGGCTCCCCGACCCCTCTGCCAGTGTATGGGAGGGGGGAAAAAAAAGGCTGTGAGGGTCACCTTCTGTTATCTACCTGCTTAACTCTGTTCCTGTGACTCTTAGTAGCTGTGCATACCACTTAGATTGGGCAGACAAATGTTGAAAATAAAGACTCTCTAATTGAAATGGAGATGTCGTAGAAATAGCACAGTTTGACATAAGTGGTAGTCACCCAATAAATGAGTTGAACTCTTGTTGGGGTTTGAGCTCTTAAACACCACAGAAGGCTCAACTTGGCAGCGGTTGCATTTTTTGGACAGTTGGCTTTTCGTTCTTTGGGGCTGGTTGGTGTGGGTCAAACATTAAAACCGAAGCACCAACGCTTTCTTGCAACAGCCAGTCTTCAGTGTACATGTAATATCGTCTTGGCTTTCTACCCGACTTAATTCGGTCTGTGACAATTGCTGTGACTTTTTATTTTGCTTACCTTACTTTCCTCCAGCATACTTTTTAAATATAAGCTGGAGACCAACGTAAATATCCATGCGTCTTTTAGCTGGCCGTTTAAAAATAGGTGTGTTTGGCTTTGCTGCAGAATTTCTTTCCCAGTTTTTCCCACTTGTTTCCAGCAGGTGGCATGCCTGTTTCCCTTCTGTAGAGGGGTTACGAAAAGGGTTGGGTTTTTCGCGGGTTTTTTTTCTGGACTTTGTTACTAAACATATGTGGGTAAAGTTGCACCCTGAAATGTAAGATGGTTCCAGAAAGGATTGGCTATTTACAAAAGGGATGAGGGTATCCAAATCTGGAAGGGTGGTTTGCGTTGGCAGCTTTAAATCATTCCTATTACTGGGGTTACCCGTATCTGTCTGCATAGAAATTCCTGTACCTCCCATCGGAAGCATTTATTGGGCTGCTGTCGGTCGGGGTGCTTGACAGATGACCGTTAAGGCCACACTGCGATGGTTTTGATTATGCGGGGTGCTGTGCTCAGAGTTTGATCAGAAAATTCCCTTGGGGGTAAACGAAGGCTTCACCCTGACTTCAGCAGACTTAGTAGGTAGTGTGTGGAAAAAGCAATGCCAGTGCACTTGAATAGCCATCCGAACAAATTTTGTACTACGGGCTGTGCTCATATGCCTAGTAGGAAGAAGAAAATTAAATCTGTTGCTTTTCCAAGTCAAGAGTTGATGTGACTGGCGAAAACCTTGTCAGCTGTGCTCAGTGATGTTAACTGCCCTAAACATCCCATTTGGTCCAAATGTTCTTACGTCAGGAATGGGTGATGAGGAGGCCAGTAATGGTAGTCATTTTTAAGTATCTTTAGAATGGATAATGTCATTATTATCTTTCCTCCTTTCTCTGTCTGCAGAAGTTCGAGTTGGAGAGGAAAGCTTTTTTAGCTCTCTAGTACTGGTATCTATTCATTTCTGGTCTGGAGCACCAGATGCCTTTTGGAAGATAGGTGAGGGTGGGTAATCAAGAGGAAACAGTGGCTTGTTTTTTTTTTAACTGTTTCAGATGTGCAGGTCTCTTTCTGCTCTGCCCTGTGCCTTGATCGATTGTACTGATTTCTGATGTTGTATACCGGAAAGTCTAGTCTAGGCCAACGTAGAATGGGGTAGCCACGTAATCAGTTTGCAGCAAGAGGCTTGGTTACTTATGACAGGTTTTACCTAGATGGTTTTTTTTCTAATGGAAAAAAAATACATGATCGTTGTGTAAGCTCCTCATCTGCCATATTCCTAGCTCCATTAGCTCAAGTACAGCATCCCCTTCAAGTACATCAGTTACGCTCTAACCTCTTGCTGCCTGGAGTTTGTGCTGAGGATGCATGCTTGCGTGAACAGAAAAGATCAAGCCGGGGGGCGGGGGGGTTTGTGCTTTGTTTTGAGGACCCGTCTCTTAACTTAACTCTTAACTTAAGTGTGTTAACTTAACTTAAAGTGCATCTCAAACTCATCACGAGCCGTTGATTAACGCTCTGAATTTTAGCAAAAGATAGGGGATTGTTTTACAGGCACATTTCACCCTGCTAATAACGCTTTGTGCCCGCGTCTAAGCGAAGAGAGTTATTCTTATGCATGAATTGCATATACACAGAATATTATTAGATATTATCGTAGTTACGTGCTGTTTGCGACCCAAAAGGAACAATATGAAGGTAAGTTACCTGTTGGTGTAGAGGAGCAAGGCTTGTTACATCATTTGTACGGGTTTCTTGGTCTCTTCTCTATTTTTTTTTTTTTTTTTCCTTGGCCTATTTCAAAGACTTATTATTATGGCCTATTTTCAAAGACTTTACTATCCATTATGGGAACAGGTAGACCTGCCCTTTTGAACATGGGTGGCTTTAAAAAAAAAAAGTGATGCTGAAACATAAATATACAGGTGAACTTTAGTTCTACGCTCAGCAGTCTGAGCGCTCACTTTCAAAGAATAAAGGTATGGAATAATAAACATTCCTGCAGAAAGCTGTACTCTGACAATTTGAACATGACGGGAGTACTGTAAATCTGAACCTCTGCAAGTCAGGTGACCACAAACAGTAGCTCATGAACTTAGCAAATTGTCAGCTGCAGTTTTTCAGGTGTAATCCTGTGCTTCTGAATGCATGCTACTAATTGATCAAGTAATTTATTACATAGCCCCTGGTCTGCAATACTGCAATAGCGTTATACCAGCTGTCGAGTACGTTGTGATTTTTATCCAGAAATGTTTGATTGACACGGAGGAGAGATGAAAGGGAGGAAGACAACATGAGATTATTCCACTTTAATAAGCTTGGTCTCAAACATGCCTTGCTGGCTTCTAGAAATGAATGCTAGTGTATTCCTTGCAAAGCATGAGGTTGTAACGCTTTAGTGGTTTCTGGTTAGTTAGAGCAGTATATAAATAGGTTGTCTGTCCTGAATGTTAAGTTCTTCTAAGTCCTATGTAATGAGAGGCACCCTTTTTACTGGAATTTCTGCTAACGAGTGCTTAATACTCCTTTGGTAGGTACATAGAGCACAGATCTTCTATCAAAAGCAAAACGGCAGTAACTCAGGACCCGGTTATCCAAATATGTGGTGAGGCAAGAAAGGATGTGTTACAAGGCGTGAACCAGTCCATGCTAGCTGCTTTAGTGTGACGTTACCTACAGTAAGTGGAAACTTATTTCTAAGTTACTGCATAGTGAAAGGTGCTCTAGGCAGACTCTTTGCGTATCCTTGGGTGTGAAAGGACATACCTTTGGTTCCTGCGGAGCAGCTGACAAGTTCATTAATGTTATTCCCTGTTAACAAACCATAGCTTGCTGTGAACGCTTGGGTCTTGGCAAGAAGGGGGAGATGTCCGAGAGGGTGGCTGGACGAACGAGACCACCTTCCCATATACCACACAGGTGAAGAAGGGCGATTGTCATGCCTGGAGATGCTCCAGCTCTCTCCCAAAGGGCTTTGTGTCTTTCACTGCAGTTACCCTTTGTTCTCTCCTGCCTAATTTTTAGCAGCGCAATCCAAGCTATGCTGAATGCGGTTGGCAGCTTCATTTCAACCAAAAATATTTCTTGGTGAAGTATCGGGTTCTGGCATTGGAGGTCGCAGCCTCTTTGCCTCTAAAAGTGTGCTCTTACTGATGGTAAGAAAGCAGCAGTTAATGTATGGGGCTCAGCATCCCCACTATTTGAGAGTACTGAGAAAGTTCACTCATGTCCCTTGGTGGGGGGGAAAGGGAGTGCTGCGATACATTTAGTAGTGCAGTTGATGT